AGAAATGCAGAGTATAGTGTTCTTATCCAAATAAGCACTGACTAATCAGACTATCAAAGTGATTTTCTGCTTGGGGAAGGGTGTCATTTTCCTTTTTTTAAAGAGGTGCCTGGGGGCCAGGGAGATGGCTCAGTAGAGCACAAGGGCCTGAGTTCAATCCCTGCTCCTGCCAAAAATAAATAAATAAAGAGTTGCCTGGAGCCAGATGCTTTTCTATCTTTCCCACATCAGAAATATATTTGGTCAACATGAACAGGGGATTAAGGAAGAACTAATCATTTGACTTCTGCTGTTTTACCAAGCAGAAAACATATTATTTTCTACTCTTATCAGTCAGATATTAATCTAATTTAGAAATAAGATCATTAGAACACCTTCTCTCTTTACTCTGTTGACTGTCAGAAGTTTGCAGTTTCTCAAATAATCATTTAGCAAAGAGGCTTTGACTCTGCTAAAACTTCAAGTGACTTTTTAAAATGAGATTATCTCCACTAGCATACTAAGACATAGTGGTGGAGGGAGTACACAACTTTCTTTCACTTACCTGACACTTCACCTTCAAAGCATCTCACAGTTAACTAATTAATGAAGCTTTACTACTGAATAATTTTCACTGCAACAAAGAAAGAGCTGATTCTACCAAAACACAACTCAACTTCAAGGAGCTTATGTTTCAACTTGTTTTTATCCTCTATCAGTAACAGTGAGCAGTGTCAGCAAAACTCCCTCCTTTTAGAGTTCTAAGAGTGCCCCAATTTTTCACCTTTCTTCATCAAACCTCTGCTCATCAGCTATTTTGGATACAGCCTATTATGCAACTGATCCATTGCAATAGAAGCAGCCTCAGTTTCCAAGTTTTTTTAATCCCCCAGGGTAAGCCCTTCAGCATATGGAGCAAGATATTTACTAAGTGGAACATGTCTAGCACATGCAGTTGGTATATTTTAAAATAAACCACAAAAGCAATTTCTTGGGGACCTTACAAAGACCAATCATCTACAGGATTTTTTTTTTGAGGAAAGTGAAACTGAAGGGCGAGAAGTGTTGATGAAAACTGCTCTGAAACGGAAAGCTAAGAAGCTTTGTCTAATACCCTCATTTACATCTACAGCATTTATTTTTGTGACTGTTAAAAAGTTAGTCAGGAAGGCATACAAAGTGTGATTTGCTTTGTCTAAATTTTAAGTTTAAAACTGGGTTATTTCTTCGTGTCGTCAGGAGCTGGTGCATTAAAAGAGGTAACAGATATGAAGAAGACTTTTTTGGGTACGTGCATGTAACCCTCCCAAGCACCCTCTTTCCAGTATCACACGTTTTGGAGAGGATTTCATTGTGTACAATTACTTTGATCACATTCATGTCCCCTATTTCCCGGCTTTATTTTCCTCCTCCTTGATGAGGATTTAATTTAGAAATTCTCATGCGAATGAAGCACTCATATATTTTACAAATACTTGGATTACTGAGTTTATTTAGACTTTATGTAAAATTGGAACAGAAGAAATACGAACAGAACACGTGATTTCTCCTTTTCCATAAAAATTAGTTGCTCCAGATTTGCAAAACGTATTTTAAAAAGTAAAATATGAAGGAAGTTTCCTAAAATTGGTGACAGGAGTGGACGAGGGCCGAGCGCGCGAATTCCTTTTACCATGATGGGCCTTAGGTCAGCGCTTGGGTTTTAGAAAAAGCGTTAGGTGGAAACAGTTCGCTCACGGTGTTGCCCACCACGGCCGTGATCTACACAGGCCCTACAGCTCCTAGAACCACTATACTCAGGGCAGTAGTGGCCTTGGTGCCGGCAAAGCCACGTAAGGATGCCCGGGCGGGAAGAAGGAGAAAGGACTAGACCACAGCGGCGAGATTCGGGAATGGGGAGACTCTTGGGCCTGTCTCTCGCACTCTTAAGCTCCCGATACGGATCACCTTGGGATTCGGCTTCCTTGTGAACCGCTTCCAGCGATTCACTCCCTTGTTCTTCCCTGAGGTGGATCTTTCCTTTGGGGACAGCAGCATTTTCCAGGTTTAAGGCCGGACCGTGGCCAAAGGTGCAACAAACGCTCTTTTGCTCACGCTGCTTCCGGGTCTACTGGAAGTTGTAGTTCCTTTACTCATTGAAGAAGAGCCAGTGTCCTATGCGGTGGAACTACCATTCCCAGAAAGCTTTGCGCAGTCGGAATGCGATCGCTCAGTTACCACGGCAACAACGAAGGACATCCGGCCTTGCTTTCAAAGGACCTTTGCTACTTTTCGGCCCTTGGTGATGACGTACTGCTTCCTGATTGGCTCTGTACCGGAGGCGATGGTTGGGGGGGGTACCAAGAATTCTGTGAACCGGACACGTGGTTTGGAGTTTGGGGGTTTTAAAGCTCAAAAGACTTGGGAGGTTTGCAGGTAAGTTCCTGTTTCTTTGCTGATGTGGGGCTACTAGGCATGAGCAAGTCGAGTCGCGCCTAGGCCCTTCTTGATTGTGCTATACAGTTATATTTCTATTCGCTACATGGTCCTCCTTTGAGTTTCCCTTTAGGTCTTGGCTTCTGCAAATTCAGATATTCCCAAATCATGTGAGTATCGCTGGCATATCTGAGAGCAAAAACCCTCCTTTCGACAGACCTCTGGTTAAGTTCCCAGAGAAGATTTTTTTTTTTTTTTTCTAACCTAACTGGGGTACTTGGGAGGGGAGAATGTTCTTGTGAGCTAGATGCTTAGAGAGGTCTGTGGTCCCGGAGAAAACTTTGAGGTAAACAACTCCAAGCTTATTGGGCTGAACTTAGATGTTGTCGGGAGTTCACGCACGTATATGTGGGTTTATGAAGCAGGATGAAGATTTAGAGCTGATACTTTCAGCTACTTATTGGCTGAATGACCTTAGGAAACTTACTATCAGAGTTAGTTTTATTCATTGACAAATCAACGCAAAACCAACAAATGTAAGTTAAAGTTCATTTGAAATTGCTGGAAAACGAGGTTAGGGAAGCTTGCCTGCAGACGTTGCAGTAATCCTAGGACCTGCACCAGAAAAGGGGGTGGCTAAATAATTTGTGTTACATTCAAACTGGGGCATATCATGGAGTAGTTCTTTTGAAAGGGGTTAAGTTAAGATCCATATCTCTTCTTTACTGGGGCATATCATGGGTTAAGATCCATATCTCTTCTTGGAGGTGGATATCCATTGTGTATTCCTGAGAGAAAAACAAAGTGAACCAGTTTCCATTTTTGTAGAAATAATCTCCCTCCCATAAAAAAGTAACCTCCTCTCCATAAACAAGTATGTTTAAATGTTTGAATGGGTATGAAAAAAATTGTAGAGGCTGGGAGGATGGATTAGAGGCAAAGGAAGGGGAAGGGGAAAAAAGTGCACAAGTAATGCTGTAGCAAAATTGGAAATATGACTCAAATTTGTGTTAGTATTGAAGTTAGTAAGTAAACATTACAAGTGCTTATGGATAAAGTGGGACTTCCAATAAACTACCACCATATTAGACTAATTATACAGCTCCAAAACTAGATTTTATTTATTTTTTTGAGGCAGAGTCTTCTTATGCAATTCAGACTGGCCTTAAACTCATGATGTTTAAGGCTCAAGCTGACCTTTAACTCATTGAGATCTTTCTGCTTCAGCTTTCCAAGACCTGGAATTACAGACATGCACCACCACACCTACCTTGACTTTTTAAATTTAAATCCTAGCACTGCCAATTTCCCTGGTGATTTTATTAGTCTCATTTCTTGATTTATAAAATACAGATAATAATAATTGCATATATGTTGTGCACTTGGTATGAGGGTGAATAGAATTAATTTATAAAGAACAATACTTGATGCCTAGTAAATACCTAATAAATGTTAGTCACTGCTATTGTTCAATAGGAGAAATTAATGTAACTTTATTGTAATCATTGACATTTGGGCCATCTTAATTTGTATTTTCTATTTTTGTTGTGCTTTATTTGGCCTCTTTCTGGTCTTCATTGGATTAATCAGTTTTTTTCTTATTCTTATCAATCTTTTCATAACAGGTTTGGAAATTATTTATTCTGCCAATAACTTAATGGTTACTTCTAAACTTTTAACACATAAATAACAAAGTTTAACATTATTTAGTATCTCTTTTCCCTTACCAAATAATGTAAAACTTGTACGATATATCCCTCTGAATAATCTCATTTTCTACTGTTTTTATGGCTTTAGAATCCATTATTTCTGTGTCATTGTTGAGTCAGCACATACTGTTTAGAAGTCTGTCAGACATTTTTCCATGCATGTATAATTTTTATTTTATTTTATTTTATTTATTTATTTTTTTTCTGGAACTGGCGATTGAACTCAGGTCCTTGCGTTTGCCAGGGAAGCAGTTATTCCACTGAGCCATCCCTGGCCCCCATGGATAATTATTGTAAAGACTATGTGGAAGACATGGGGAGATATGGATGTGTCCTTATAAATATAATTTTCTTTTCACAAAAAAATGTGCTCACACAAGCTTACTTTAGTCTTGTAGCAAAGCTTATACTTCTTTCCATGACAATATGTAGAGAAACCATTCGAGATACGTTTTAAAATCCCCTTTTGCCTGACAGATGAGGGAGTGGGTGGCCCCAGAGCTATTAGGACAGGTGCAGTTTTGCCAGGGGCATAGACAATGTTTATTTTTTCACCATACCCATATATATGTTTTTTCAGTTTTTATTTTTTATTAGTGCATGTCTGCATTACATAATGATGACCTTCCTTGTGGGAGGTTGGGATATATACATGTCATATCTTAATTCCCCTTTTCATCTTGTTTCTCTCTCTGCTCTTTGTCTTGATCATGTTCCAATTTACAGGAGATCTTCCCACTTCCTACTGTCTTTTATTTTGCTTTTACTTATAGCTTGTTTTTCTTTAAGAGAACCCATGTAATATTTAAGCTTGCGTGTCAATTTATTTCACTTCACATTATGGCCTCACATTCATCCATTGTCCCACAGATGACTCAAGTTTATCCTTTTTATGGCAAAGTAGTACTCTTATATATATATACCATACTTTTTAATCCATTCATCAGGTGATGAACATATAGACTGTTTCCAAGATTGTTATAAGGGTGCTACTATAAATATGGGTATACAAGTATCATGGGAATGTGATGTTTTTAACTCTTGATGGAAGATATCTAGAAGGCAAATGGTTGGGTTAAGTAGGATTTCTATTTTTAGCTCTTTGAAGAATCTCTATAATGATTTCCCTAGTATTCTACTAGATTACATTCTTACCAACAATGTAGAGCAATTCCCTCTTCCCCACAGCTTTGCTAGCTAGCATTTGCTATTATTTTGATTTCTTGATGGTAGTTATTCTTTATGGGATAGGATGGAATCTTGGTGTTGTTTTAATTGCATATTTCTAATAACCGGTGATGTTGAGCATTTTTTGAATATGTATTGGTCATTTATACTTTTTCTTCTGAGAAGTGTCTATTTCTGTTATTATTATTTCTGTTACCTGTTTTTTATTGGGTCTTTTATTTTAAGGGGGAGTCTTTAATTTTTTTGATTTCTTCATGTATTCTAGATATTAGTTGGAAACTTTTTTTTTCTGTTTTGTAGATAACTTTTTCACTCTGTTGGTTGTTTCCTTTGCTGTGCAGAAGCTTTTTTTCTTTTTTCTTTTATTTATTTATTTGTGTGTGTGTGTGTGTGTGTGTGTGTGTGTGTATGTGGCCAGCTCAGCCCACCAGGGGGTGGGGCTGGCTGGCATGTGGTGCTGGGGGATTGAATCACGGTCCCTGTGCTTTGCTAATCTTGTTCTAAGTAGGTGCTTTAGACCACTGAGCCATCTCACCAGCCCATCTTTTTTCTTTCTTTCTTTCTTTTTTTTTTTTCCCCAGAACCGGGGATTGAACTCAAGCCCTTGTGTTTGGCAGGCAAGTGCTTATTCTACTGAGCTATCTCCCTGGCCCTTGAGCTATCTCCCCAGCCCTAGAAGCTTTTTAATTTGCTATAATCCCATTGGTAAATTTTTGGTAATATTTTTTGTGCTACTTGGAGTTCTATTCAGTAAGTCTTTGCATATGCCTATATCTTCAAAATTTTCTAGCAGATTGTTAAAGTTTGTGTCTAGATATCCCTCCAAAGCTGCATGCAGCCATGGAGTGGGCTTTTTCAGAGGTGGATGAATCTAGAGTTTGTAGTTGATTTGAGGTACAGTGCTGGGATTAAGGGTGTTGGGATCAGGGGTGGGTGATTTACTGGCTCAGTCCACTGATTGGATTAGCACCACCCTAATCCCAGTAGATTGGATACAATATAAGGGACAGAGGAGGCATGTCTCACTCTGTCCATTGTTGCTTTTGTTGTCTTCTGCTGCCATGAATTTTTGCCCCTCTGCCATATGTCACCCTGCCCTTCCTGGTGATTATGGACTGAAACCCCCATAAACTTCTGCTAAACCTTTGCTCCTTCAATTTTGAGTGGTTTTGTTTGTTTTTTGTATTTAGGACAGGGTGTACAGGGTCCCATAGGTCTGCATAGATCGGACGCATAGTGATCCTCCTGTTCACAGCCTCCCAAGTGCTGGGATTACAGGCTTGTGCCACCAAGCCCAGTCTCAATTGCTGTCTCAGTGCGCCCCAGGGGTGGGGCCGGCACTGCAGACAAGCCTGGGGATTGAACTCCCAGCTCCTGTGTGTAAGCAGACACTTTAATCTGTTGAGCTATTTGCCAGCCCAGTGCTATGTATTTTGTCTCAGCACTGAGAAATGTAACTGAGACACAGATTAAATAAATGCTTTTTTGTTTTTCTTTCAATTAATGATTTGGTACAGAGTCTCATTACACAGCTTGAACTTGTAGTGATTCTCCTGTTTTTGGCTTCCCCAGGGCTGGGATTACAGGTGTGTGTCACCACACCCGGACTCCACTCAGTGTGCCCTGGGGGTGGGACTGGAGATGGAGCCCTTGTCCCTGCACTTGCCAAAGCAGGTGCTTAGTCCACTGTCGCCAGCATAAATAAATATTTATGTTTAAATACTTAGCTCTTTGATTCATTTTGACTTTAGTATATTGTAAGATACGTGATTCTAGATTCAGTCTTTTGTACTTGGATATCCAAGCTTTCCAGTGCCGTTTATTGAAGAGACTGTCTTTCCTCCTGTGGATGTTCTTTGGCCCTTTGTCAAAGAACAATAGCTGAATATGCCTGAGGTTGTTTCTTCATCCTCTGTTCTGTTCTGTTGAACCATGTCTGTTTGGAATGGCAGTACCATACTGTTTTATCACAGTAGCTTTGTAGTGTAGCTTGAGATCTGAGATTGTGATACCTCCCACTTTATTCTTGTTTCCTAGGATGGCTTTTGCTATTCTGGGTCTCCTCTGGCTCCATATAAATTTTAGGATTGGTTTCTCTAGATC